TATTAAATAAATAACAATTTTAAAAATAATGAATAATATTATTGCTCTAAACTGTAGAAATAAAGTTGCTCATCTTGGGTTAATAAGCTATAGTTCACCGCCTTCTAATCATCGATATTAATGTTCTTTCTACATTTTTTTAACTCAAATAGATACTAGATCTTGAACTCTCACTCATCAGAATCATTATCCTCCAAGATATTCAAAAAGGAGCTGACTATTTGCTTTGAAGTAATATCGACTAGCTTCTTTTCTTCAGCAGTCAAATAATTACTACTAATAATAGATCCATTAAGCATCTTCTAATATGTTGCCTTAATTTTAGTATTTACAAAAGATTCTAACTAATTAGTAGTTGCTTGTATCTTTACAATAGCCATTATATGTGCTAAAAACATTCATTTGTTATTGTAAAGTCCTTTTATTAATTTAATTAAATGCTGTAAATCATGTAATTTTATTAAAACACAGTTCAAACTTATCTCAAAAGAGATTTACGAATTAGGTAATATTGAATTTTTCAAACTTATCTTATTCTAATTTCAAAAGAGATTTACAAATTTGGTAATGTTGAATTTCTAAACTTGGTTCATTTTGTTTTCAAAAGCAATTTCTGAATTTGGTAATATCTAATTTCCTAATTCACAATTATTCTAACCAAAAGTATTCTGCACCTGATATGTAATATCGAAATTCTATTCAAAAAAATATAAATACACATATACAATAAATATTAACTTTATCTATAACATGGAATACAAGAACTCTATCAAGAATTTAATAGTAAGCAAATCTTTACGATTGCAAGATCTACAAGTTTTTTTAAAAAATACCTTTACAATGATCAATATAAGATTTATATTAATAAGCATGAAATTGTTCATGTGAAAAATATCAATAATAACAACATGATTGATATTTTTTTAAAATGTATATTGTGAAAATATCTTGATGATAATGAAGCAACTGCTAATAAAAAAGAAAAAACTGGTCACTTTAATACGTGTCCTCTCTGCAAGAAATTAAGCTTCAGTTATTATTGGGGCTGATATTTTTGTGCTTCTGAAAGTAGTCCAAATCCATTTCTCGATTTGAATGATGAGAATTTTAATCATTGTGGTATCTATAATTATTGGAGCTCGAATCTTTTACATGTTGGAGATAAGTTTTAGTTGCGAATCATTGATATTTCTTATGTTCAAAAATTTTTTAATAAATACAAAAATTGTAGAAATATAAAGCTGTATTGGTGTATTTATAAAAACATTAGTATGTATCATAAGTGTGGTCATCTTTTAAATATTTATTCTGAGGATCTTTTTTATTATGTAAATCATTTTTTAAAAGAAAAACATCAATTTAAACAGTGTTCTGATTGTGATAGGATTAGTGTAAATAGACCAAATGAATCAGAGTATGTTAGAGTGAAATGCCAATGTCTTAAGAATATCAAGAAATAATTATTAATTATTACATACTGCTTAATAAAATTATATAAATGTTGAATTTATTCTTATATAGCAAAAAAAAGAAAACTGAGCAAAAGTAATTATTTAATCATGTCATGGTTACTGTTTATTAAAAAAAACTGTTTTACAATGTGATAAAAGAGCTCGTAAAGAAGAGTACAAAAAAACTAATTAATAATGATTACTAATTAAATTAATAATTAGTCCTTTTATTACTAATAAATAAATAATGATTACTAAGCTAAATTATCAGTTGGATGAATTTTCATCATTGAGTCTTCAACTCTCCTCATTTTGCTTCTCCATGATCTGAGTTACCCAAGAATTTTTCAATTCAAAGCCTCAATCGCTTGTTTGGCCTTCTAGATACAGCTGCGGCACTAGTTTCTTGCTAACTATCATCAGTATCACAAGATTCAGATTTGATTTGATTATGATCATCTTGAGGTTTCTTTTTAGCAGTTGACAAGATCAGCTAAAATTGTGAAAGAAGCTCCTGCTTGTAGTTGGAGAGCTCACAGCATCTAGGATAGTCGTATAGATAGTTTTTCTTAAATTTAGAAAAGTGGCATCACCAGTAAACCTGATTCTGTTTGATAATCATCTTACCATCCTGTTTCTGATTTAAACCTTGAACTATAGTTTTTAGCTTATTAACTATGAATTCACCCTTATCATATTTAACATCCTAGAGTATGTTGTAAAAATCTTCCTCTAAGACTTTGTGAAATATAAGTTTGGTGGTATGTTAGTCTATCTTAGCATACTATATACCATTAAACTTAATGATATAATTAAGACATTAATAAAACTGACCCTAGTTACATTGAGTCAATGTTTCATCACTTATATTAACTCTTTGAAAGTTAAAAGCTTCTTCCAGTGGTTTGTAGAAAGTCATAAAGACAAACTTGACAAGAAAAAGTACAAATGATTTACCTTTCTGCTCAACAATCTCTGGCGTATCATTAAGATACTTGACAATATCATTCCAATCTAAGACTATGTACTATTCATCAAATAAAACAATTTTATATTTATCATATCCATCCCACTAGCTGCTATCTGATCTTTGTTTTTTGGCTTTGAATATATTGTAATTCTTTTGAAACCATTTTTTGAACCAAATTTGACTTTTCAGCACTACCATCACTATAAAAGTAAAACATAACAAGATGCCAAAAACATTTCAAAGATTCATTTTAAATTTCTTTTTAATAGATGCTAATATAATCCAAATCTTGAAATGATCTATAAAAGTGTCATAGAGCCAATTTTACCAGATCTTCTAATATATCACGTGTTGTAAGACCTTCTTGAATAATATGTTCAACATGTTCTTTATTTTCTTTTTTAATATCAAGAAATTTGGCTGATGCTAACAAAAAACAATAATTGCCAAATTCCTAAAGACCAAGCTCATACTTATTATCAACTCAACATGCATGAGTACATTTCTCAATACATTCAGAAGTACATGTGTCACAAATTTTTTCTTATTCAAAAAAGTCACATTGGCAATCTTTTATATGAAAAGAATGCTTGCAGCGATTCCATGGTTTCATACTATAAGCACAATTTTGATCTGAATTACTATGCAAATACTTAGAAAAGCTCATAGAATGATAACTAAAAATTTCTTTAACCGATTTGATCATTTGCCTGTCTTTAAGTTGTATAAAACATTGCTCATGTAATTGTCTCTTGTCAGTAGGTTCAGATTGTTCAGATGTATAAATAATACCTTTTGCTTCTAATTGTTTATATATTCTTAAGTTTATGGAAAAACCTGCTTGTATTTAATACCAAGAGTTTTATATGAAGAACACACAAAATCGTTACACCTATACAATTTATAACAGTTTTTACAGTTATTATTCTTACAATGCCAATAATTCTTCTGGCACTTGATTTATAATAAAACCTAACCCATACATACAAATACTTCTTCTCAAATTTTTTTGTCTCTCTTAGTTACATTTTTCTTGCATTTGAACGCATTTATACATGGAATACAATAGAAGATAGTAGCCATAATCTGATAGAATCGGTAATTGTTTTTTGAATTATTTTTTTCTATTCTGACATAGTAAATTTTACCAATCACCTCTTTATATACTTTATTAATAGTAAACAAATTACTAATTTAAACAATTACTAATTCAGTCAGGGAATATACCAAATTAGGATAATGCAGATCACTCCTTTTACGTTAACAAAATGTCGATCAGACTATTCTAGATTTTTTCTGACCATTCTACATGTGATCATCAGCTCCGAACGACTAGCCAATAAAATTGCAAGACCAAAACGTAATGATCAAGAATTTTATACA